ACAATCATTTTTTTTTATACTTTAGTTTATTAGGGTTTCTATTACTTTTTCGGTATCGAAATGATTTAGCACCATAAAGAGTCAAAGCTAATATGAACGCGAAATTCACAAGGACACGGACTTGTTGATTCGACCTAGTATGTAAGTTCAATAATTTGACAGACACTGATACTCTTATCCGATCTTTAGACCAGTTTTATGTTGACTGGGTGATTCGTAACTTGATCAACTACATGTTAAGGAACAGTTAGATAAGCTGCGAGATGTGCGAGTATTTCGGTACCTACGCCTACATGGGTGGCCAAGGGACTATAAACGTTGCTGGATATTCCACCCATTGAAACATGCATATATAAGATATGAGGCTGCACACAGAGGGAAAAAGAAATATACACGCTTGGTACCAAATTGGCACCAAAGAGTTTGTAATTTTTCAATAACAACCGTTGTCAAAGTATATACATACGTACGACAACACTATGTCGCAACGTTGTCAACATTGCAACAATTCGTTGTCGAAATCTAAATTTTTTACACATACGTTGTCTAAATGTTAACAAACGTGGTAAGCTCACTATTGGCAACGGATTGTTTGCAATAGTGAACTTACCACGTTTGTTAACATTTAGACAACGTATGTGTAAAAAATTTAGATTTCGACAACTAATTGTTGCAATGTTGACAACGTTGCGACATAGTGTTGTCGTACGTATGTATATACTTTGACAACGGTTGTTATTGAAAAATTACAAACTCTTTGGTGCCAATTTGGTACCAAGCGTGTATATTTCTTTTTCCCTCTGTGCACTTACAGCCGAACTACTCATAAGTTTAGGAGAACTGACCAAAATCGGTTATAGGCCACGTCATTAAAGTATACTGGATACATTGGAAGGCTAAACACAATCGTTGAACGTGCCCGATCGCATACCAGAATATGTCGGGATCTTTGAAACACTGATGCCAGATAGATTTTCTTAGTCAAGCGGAACATTAGAGCAAATATAAGTAGGAATCCGTTGCTACACGGATGGGTCTAAATTGAGGGACAATGCGTTCCTATACTGAAGACCCAGAAAGAGAAATATACTACCGTTTACCTAATCACAAAACTAGCTTCCAGGCAGAAGTTCGAGCATTAACGGAATGCGTAAATTGTTTTAGAATAAATATGGCGCCAACAGGGGTTAACATATTTACCGACAGTCAGAGGGCAATTAGGGCGATATCCGGTAATTAAGTTAAATCTGAAACCTATGAGAAAGTTTTAACGGAATAATCTCTCAGTTGTAAAGTTGTGAAACGGTGGGTAGGACCACAAAGCTCCTATGGGGTTACCCTAACGAGACTAGGGTAAAAGTGAGCAAGTCTGGCACGTATTCGGATACTCAGGAATACAGGGAAAGCTATAAAAAATATTAAATAAATAAGCAAAAACACAACAAAATAGTTCCCTCTAGTAATTCCAGTCTCAATTCGATCAAAATAAAGAATTTCTTAAAAAAATTACCCTAATGTACGAATAGTTATGCGCATACAGTTGTTTAAAACATGTTGTCTTCTAAATATCTAAATCTAAATTAAAAACAACATTTTATTGCGGTTTAATTAAAATTGCAAGTTAAAATATTTAATCATTTACACAAAAAATACTACAGTAGCAAATGATAAAATTTTTATGAAATACAGTTTTAATTGGTTACTAAATACAGTTTAATTGGTTCTGGATATAGTTTAGATGCATAAGCAAAATGATACTATACTTATCTTCGAACATGAATCGCGCGACCATGTATGAGTACTTGAGATATCTATTCTCAAACCATCGCTGCCCAGTTGTGTAACTTTTGGGATGCAAAAACATCATTTCCATTTACAAAGACACAAATGGAATGGTCTCTGTTGATTCGGTAACAGCACCTAGAGATGTAATCGGTAGATCAAAATACGAATCCTTCAAATAAGTCAAAGACAAGTTCTTACTATCAGTTGTATAAGATACCTTTCTTCCACAATTTAACCCAGCACACTTCTCTTTTAACCGACACACTCATTGAGAACATCAACCGACACACTTACTCTAGATATTCGGGTGGCTATGGTCCGCATATCCCAACATTCATCCGTACCAACTCATTTCCAACGCTTAGTTTCACAGTCACTCCTCTGCGGGGTACCTTTGTCTCAGCAACAGCACCGAACTTATCCTGAATTATAGACTTTTAACCACCATTATCTTCCCGTGAGTTTATGTTTAAACCACAGACACCACGTCCATCCCGAAGGTACTTCTCCCATAACTGGTACAAGACAAAGTCCGATGACCTGTGGCTCCTGGTTCGACCCCAGGACAAATCATTCCAAGGAAAGGCCGAGTATACATTTCACACCACCAGTTTATAGTGCCGACAGACTAGAGGTATTGGTAGCACCTCTTTTCCCCCCGGATTGTAATAACAATGGGGAACATCATCATAATAAGATGCGCCAGATGGGCCGCAAATGGAACAGCTGCATTCGCTACAGGTTCCTTGTGATTGTTTTGACAGATTTTGACAGGTTCCATCAAATACAGATCATTACCGCCGTTATCGCTATTTGGCTTTGGTATCCATTCGCCGTCTTGTTCAGTCTTCACACATGATCTTCTACGTTTTGGGTTACTGTAATGGATTCATTTTTCGTGGCAATTAATGAATCGATGAAATATGCTTTTTTCCCTGCGTTTGTATGAATTCTGCTGCTAGCAAACATTTTGATTGCTGCAGTCCTGCGTAAACTTCGCCTTAAGTGTCAAAATGGAACCTAAATATATCTTAGCTTGGAAGTATCAACATGTTACAAGTTTGGTTTTAGTAAACCATGCTGTTCCAAGTCAACGAAATTTTAATTAATCAGTTTATAAAACGAACAAAAGGAAATAAAATACATTTGTGGAATATTTTTTCAAAAGTAGACCTTTAAAGTTCCGTTATGTCAACCCATTGTAAATAATGGAATAGTGACAACCCTGAATTACAACACGACAAACTTTAGCTCTGTTATTATTAAAAGAGAAAGGATTCTTTGAATGCTTAACAGTTTCGATCTATACAAATCACGGGGTCCTAACGGAATTATTCCCACAGATCTTCATACTATGGTTGCTATTAATATACAAGACATGCCTAAGTACGCTATATATTCATAATATGTGGATGAGGTATAACGGGAGAGAAAGCATTTCATATGAAACCTATTATAGACCAATTAGTCTTGCGTCCTTCATGCTCAAGACTCTAGAACGCTATTACATAAAGAGTACTCTCTTAAATAATGTTGAACTCAATGCTATCCCAACTGCGCTAGGAGGATTAGGTGTCGACTCTCAACTGCTCACGGGTACGAAAATTGCTCTTAATTTATTAAGTTACTGGAGTGTTTCCCGTGTACTCAGGGTAAATACACTTAAAACAGAACTAGTTCTCTTCACTAGGAGGTATAAAATTGAAAACTTTATATCAACAAAGTTGAATGATATTAGATTAAAAACAATGGATCACGCAAAGTGCCTGGTAGTAAACTTAGATAGTAAACTATCCTATCGTTAAGCCCATACTGTTTTATGGAGTATTAGTGTGGTGGCAAGCAATGGAGCATACTTTACACTGTGCAACCATTGAATTGGTTACCAGCTGACATAATGGCTATTCAATATGCTCTTGGTTTGGTTGGCTCGTGGTCTGGTTACAGAAATTATGCGCATTCAAGAATCATAAAACATTTCGAATCACCCAACTTCGATAATCACTTTCTTACCATGATTTCAGGAAGTAATTCAGAATTAAGAGACTCACCCACCTCCAGCAGGTGTAACTTCAGACTGCATAAATACTGTAGTGTTCTTCAGGCAGAAATATGTGCTATCAAACGACCAGCGAATTGGTTAAGGTACTATCACATATCGGGGGATATATGTATATATACTGAGTGCAAAGCTGCTATTCAGAATCTAGTTAGTGTCTTTACGACATCTAGGTTAATCAAAGAATGCCGGGTATCTCTAAATATGAAGCGTTCTATACCCTCAAAGTGGATTTCATGGCTGATCTTGATACATATATAAATCTGTGTTCTGTTACTAATCAGATTAATATTTATTCCTGATTTCATAAGAAAAAGTCTAGCAATGTCAAATCGCATAATATTGGTGGCCAATTCATTACACTAAAGCAAAAAGACATTGTGACGACATGACATTCATATCTATAAAAATTTAGCTTTTGATATTTCTTTAACACGGTTAATCTATATCGAAACTATTTAACAAACTCTCGTATATAAACGTATCCTATGTGATCCGTGTGATTTTAATGATGACATCCCTGTTACCATTTAACACTCGATAAATTTATTTAGTATGTTTGCCTGTTGATCTTACATATGGTAATAGGCAGACAGACATATTTATAATGGGTCAACAGCATTTGTGTCAAGACACAATAATCTAGACAGGAGCGGCGAGACAAGAACCATAAATATTGACCAAATGAGTAAGTGAGCGAGTGAATGTATGAATGAATAAATAAATGTATGAGTAAATGAAATAATGTATAATGAATGAGTGATTATTTTTTTTTTGCCAATTTGATTGTTTTTTGTTTTTGTTAGCTTGTTTTCCTGTCCCTGTGACCGAGCTACGACGACAGCAACAACAACTTTTTCTCGTCACCTCTCTTAACAATGTTGCCGATTTTGTTGCATTAATATCGACTTGATTCGAAGCAACTTTCTTTAAAACAATATAACTGTTGATATTGCTGTGGTTGGATATTCATTCTTTGTTTCGTATGTTTCTTGTTTTCCCCGTCTTTTTTTTTTTTCAATATCAATGACGTTAGTGATATTGACATCGACAACGTCAGCGATAGCCACGACGACGTTGTTGACGCTGTCGTCTCCGCGCTCCGTAGCTGAAGTAAGAAATGAAAAGAAGAAAAACAGCAGCGGTATTTCATTTTCTGGTTTTTCTTTATCACATTGTTTTGTGCTGTGAGTGAGTAAAACACCTCACAGCAAACACACACAACACGGATCACATAAATTCAAGTTGCACAGATCAAAACAGAAAGTTTTCTACGAGTTCGAACGCACGATTATCGCTGGCGCAACATTAGTTTTGAGTTGGCTACCAACGCGAGCGGGTCATTCTCTTTGCAAGCGACACACGTATATATTTTTCCAATTTTTTTTTTTTTCTTTAAATTTTTTTTTTAACTAAAATTTTGGACTTTTAATAAAATTTAAGAAAAAAATCTATATAGTGCATGAATATATAATATACTAAATTTATTTATACTTTATACAAAAAAATATATATAGAACATTAAAAAAAAAAAAACGGAAAAATATTTAAATAAATACTAAAGTTTAATTGAAAAACAAAATATGCATTTGTGTTATACAATCAAATTCGAATTCGAAACGTATAAATTTATAGAAATTTCAAATATTTTAATTGAAATTTTTTATCAAAAAACAAATTTGTATAAGAAACGAAAATAAAATATAATTATGCTTATGATTACGAAAATTGCAAATATTTGCTGACAAATAAAAATAAAATGAAAAAAAAAACGCTTACGAAATAACTGAAAGAGAATTCAATGAAATTTTGCAGACATTTTCTTTAAATTGTGCCAAAAAAATATATATTTTAGTTGAAAAGAATAAAATTATAAAAAAATATTTTTTTTTTTTTTGTGAATAATTTAAAATTAGATATTTTTATATGTTGTTGCTATAAGAATTTTTGTTCTTGGCGATTTTCTTTCAATTAATTTTCTTATTTTTTTTTATTTTTTCATTTGACATTTTAGATTTAGAATCTTAAGGATACTCCGAACGAAATAAATTTATAAATATTTTAATATATTTTATTCACAACTGTATTTTTTGTTTGTTGTTAAATTTAATGGTCAATTTTTAAAAAATTACTTTTTTTCACAAAATCTCCTGTCCCCCCTACAACAACAAACAACTCTGAAACAATAATAATAAACTGCGAATTTTTAAGTAGTAATTAGTTTAATAAACAAAATAATATAAAAGAAACATACAAATTTTAACAAATTAAATTAAATAAAAAAAAAACAACAAAAACAAACGAATAAATTTTTTAACGGTTAAAACGTCATTTTAAATACAGTAACACGAATTCAAAATGATGATGGAGAACGGTCTCTCCATGGAGTATGGAGATGGTTATATGGAACAAGAAGAGGAATGGGAGCGTGAGGGACTTTTGGATCCTGCCTGGGAAAAGCAACAAAAGAAGGTAAGTCTTACCTTGAAACTTTTTTTAGAAATCTTTATTATATATATTTTTTTTTTGTTTGAAAACTAAATGAAATCTTCTTCCCACTCTTATTCAAATCAAATTGATCTTATTGATTTTATTTCTCATTAGAAAAGTCAAAATTCTTATTAAGAAATGGAACTTAAAATTAGGTGTTATTGATATACAATTATACATATATATACTACACAGATAGATATATTTTAACACATACATAACTAAATTTTATGGGTTTTTACTTATATTCACACCAAGATCCTCCAATATCTGTATATATGTATAATGTTCATGTATGTGTGCGTGTGTATGCTATTTTTCTTTTTACCCATACTCTCTTAATTTTAATGTGAATATACATACATATTACTTTTTTTTCTGGGGGAGGGGAAAGGCTGGTCGGTTGGTTCATTTGTCAGTATGATGTTCTTTATAGATCTTTTTACTGAATCAACTATAACAACAACGACGATAATAAGACTAATAACAACAAAAAATAGAATAAAAATGTTTTATAAATAAATAATATTTTGTCGCTTTTGCAAGATTTTTCTTTTCGTGAAAATCGTCCAACCAACCACCCACCCACATACATTTTATTTTCATTTGTTTCTATTTTTCTAAATTTTTTTTTGGTTGGTGGGTCTTGAGTGCCATAAAAACCATTTCGAATTTTAGTATTTAAAAAGATTTCACTGCGTAAATAAGCTTTTTTCAACACAAAATAGTTTTAATACTTTTGAATGCCAACACATTTGTATAAAATTTTGTTCCAAATATTTGTTTTATTCTAAATTTCCTAAATAAATATTAACCTTCCCCTGCCCCTGCTACGCCCACCTAAATTGTCTTAACACAGTACTATATTTCCTTTTCCCTAAAAAAACTTAAATTTAGTTTTTTTATTTCAATTTTTTTTTATCTATACTCATTTGCATCTAGCTCTCTGCCACACATATAATTCTTCGATAAAGTTTCAATATATTTTGTAGAATTTCGAAAAAATAGAAAAAAAAGCTTTTTTTTATTTTCTTTAACAAAAACTTAAAAATAGAATTTTCCTTTCAACATTTTGTATGTGTGTTTCATTTTCACGCAATACTTTTATTGTTTTTTTTAAGAATTTTTCTCTCTACTTTCAGAACAAACAATATACGTACATATGTATATATTGTTTGTGTGAGTGTGTATCTATATCTGCTGCCTATAAAATTTGAAAAGAAATATCTTTCAGATACATACAGCTATACAATGTATAGTATTTAAATCATGAAAATTATATATTTTTCAAAACGTTATACATACCTATAGAATCATTTCTTTTTCAAATGTCAAAATTTTTAATAAAAAAAATAACAAATTATGAAATAAACATTTGTATGTGTATTAATAAATTTGACTAAAATAGATTAATCTATATGTATGTTCAGTTTTTTTTGGCCACACATCTTAAAAAAGCAAAAACCAATACATTTTTGTATATTTTTCTCAATACATTACTAAGTAATGAGTAATCGCTGAAATAATGAATTCCTTATAATTGTTTCAGCCCATTGATTTCTCATCGTGAGTTAAATTTTAGAGTAACAGGGTGATTATTTACATCTTGAATCCCAGGAATTTGTAACGCGAAAATGTGATAATTCTAAGTCCCTCAGGGTCCTTACCTATTCTCAAAAGTGCTGGAAATCACTGGTCGTTCCACTGGCGATCTAATGGCGTCACATACACGTAATTTTATCACCAAACAAATCCCCAGCAATCGTAGCTTAAAGATAGTGATATAAGGGGTTAGTCCCAACGACTATAACTTAAGACTCTGAGTCCATCAGGGCCCTGTTCCTACTCTCAAAAGTACTCAAAATGACTGGTCGCTTCACTGGCTATCATAAACGTCATTTGATTTCCAAACAAATTGCTTCCCCATCAAACGTTCTTTAAAGATAGTAGTAGAAGGGGTTAATTTCGACGACTATATCTTAAGATTCTGAGTCCATCAGGGCATTGTTCCTACTATCAAAAGTACTCGAAATTACTGGTTGTTTTACTGGCGATCTAACGGCGTCACATAAACGTAATTTGATCTCCAAACCTCAACAAACGCTACATAAAGACAGTAATAGAAGGTGTTAGATTCGACGACTTTATTTTAAGTTTCGGAGTGCCTCAGTGCCCTGAAAAGTACTCGAAATCACGTTCCACTGACAACCTAACTGTGTTACATCAACGTCATTTGATCTCCAAATAAATCGCGTTCGACTCTCCCAGAAAACGTACCTTAAAGATAGTAATAAAAGGAGTCTATTTCGATGACTATATCTTAAGTGCCTCACGGGTCTGTTCCTACTCTTAGTATTGTATTTTATAAGAATATAGACCCTATTTTTGTGAAATTAAACTCTAGATTTAATATGGTTGACTGTCTTAATTGCGACCTAATGGCTAACGATAATCGCATATAGGGCAATCTAAACCATGTCAATTTCAGTTTCCTTAAAACTTTTAGGCGTTCATTGACTCACGAGCGATTTGAGTTCTCTTTTCATCTGATAATCTCTTGACTTTGGGTGCGAGAATAGAAAGGAATGTCCGACGTAATAGTGGGTCGCATCTTGTTATTACAAAGAAAACATAAAGTTCTTTGCTTCCAATCTGCTTCGTATATACACTGCCTATATCCGAATTAAAATTAAGTGTAAATCTCAAAATACAACCTCAAAGACAAGTCTAGAGTTGCTTGATCAAGTTCAACTAAAAGCTGTGAATCTTTTAGGAGAGTCTCACGTATATCACATCCATTCCTTACTGAATGCTCACGATTGCTATTATCTATCTCCAATCAGCAAATGAAACAAAAATTCTAACCAAAAAAATTTTAAATGAGAGCTTAAATCTTCAGTTTTAAGCCAATAGTTAAGACTTTCAGATGACACAACCCTGGGTTTCGATTTTTTTTTTTTAATTTTGTCGTCCTGTATTAATTGTAACAAGTTTTAAATTAAAATGTTTACCATACAATTAATATCCGGAATTGATCGAATGTCTGACATCAAAATCATCATTTCTAACAATTCGCACCCAGTTTCTCAGATAATAAAGAACAATTTTAATAATTAATTTTCTGAAAATGTGCAAAATAATAGTTAATTATATAAAACATGTTAAGATAATTGAGCAAATATAATTTTTTTTTAAAGAATGTCATGATAATGAAAAGCAGGAAAATATTGAATATTACGGCTCCACCAACAAAATGATGTCACACTCTTTTTTTGATCAAAAGAAATCTATGTTTTTTCTTATTTTTCTTTACTTAATTTTATTTTTAATTAAATTCCATTTCTTTCGTAAATCAAGGCCGTGTTAGAAGAAAATAAAAAACAACAACCAGCTGCTGCTAAACAAAATCGTTTAGTTTGATGTGGTACATATTATTTCCTCTACTATGTAGATCAGAAAATAGTACGTACTTTTTCGAACATGATTATATATTTTTTTTTTTCGTAAAGAGAAAGAGAGACATAGAACGGATCTACATACCTCTAGAAATGTATGTGTGGTGCGTACTCACCTGAGAAATGATGCTTTAATTAAAACAACATTTTTTTTTAATTTTCAAAGATAAAAGTACAAAATGTAAAAATAATAAAAACTGAAAAAATAACTAGATAAGACATAAATTAAATGGTACCAAATGACGAGAAATATTAAAGCACATACATATGTACTTGAAGAGGAGGAGTAGAAGGAGATTGAAAATAAAATATGTATCATAATTACAGTGATTGGCAATTGGCATAAAGACACTGTAATAATATTAGAGATTAATAAAAATAAATAATTTTTAAAGGAGAATTAGAATTTAGAGATTTTTATTTGATTTATAACAAAGTTGAAATCTAATTTTAATGAAAATAACTTTATAATAGTATTATTATTGTTAAAATATATTATTAATTTAGAATTCTTTTAAAACTAGAAAATGATTTTATGTTTAGCTTTTAAATTTTTATCAGCAAAACTACACCATTATCTGAATTTGAATAAACAGTTTCCAAATGTTCAATTCGCATTAAAAAAAGTTTTGATAAATATTTTTTCCAACAATTTTAAAAAAAAATCTCTTTTTATTGAGAAATATTTTGTATTTTTTATTAATATGATTCATTTAATTACTAATATTAAAGATAATTGCGCATATTGTGATTGTACTGTATTTCATTAGTATAAACATACATATTTATTAATAACAACTTCAACAACATACTTGACAGTTCTTGTTGAGCATTCCTTAATGAAGTGACAAATTTATTTTATATACAATAAATATATGATTGTTTACAAAAACTACATATAAATAGAAATAATGCGTATAAAATATAAAATATTTATGACAATGAAACTTAATAATACAATAAAATAATGCTCATCATTTGAAATTAATAAAAACAATTGAAAACTAACTATACATATTTCTAAACTTCCGTATATTGGCAACATTGCAAAGTTTTGTTAATAAAGTTGCCATATTTTCTATAATAAATCGATTTTGTATAGTTTGCAATAAACTTTTTTAAAGGATGATTTCATTCCTTTCTTTGATACGTTTACACCTATCAAATATTAGACAAATGTAACATGACATTTTGAAATATATCTTTAAAGTTTTCACTTAAGCACGTCCTTTCTGCAATTTCAAAAATTGAAAAGATTTACAAAAAATAGTATTTTTTTGTCAAATATTTGATAGGTGTAAACGGCACCTTTAAGTTTATATTGCTGAAGCTAAAAGTCGACTTTTTAATCTTTCAACTTGTTGCGATTTTTGTAATTTCTGTGATTTAGAGGTATACATTATTTTTCAAATATCTGAGTAGAAAGTTTGAAAATTAGACTTTTAAAAATTAACTGAAGTCGACTTTTCTAGAATTGCAAAGACTAGAAAAGTTGTCAAGTCGACTTTTTGTTGCAACATTAAAAAC